CCTCTTGGGCCGATGGCGACAGCGCGTCAACCAGAAGACCGACCACATCGTTTTCTGACAACGTGTCGGGAGACGCTCCCACCAGCGAAACTTATTCAGCTGGCGACATGCGGGACAATCGCGCAAGACAGATCCCACCGACCGTGGCTTATCTCCCGACACGACCATTCTCCAATTCCGCCTGTGTCTGGATATAATGTCTGACATTTATTTTTGACATTCAGCAAGTATCTCTCTCTCTCTCTCTATCTCTCTCTCTCTCTTTATTTATTCAAAATCAAAACTGTACATACATTATAATGAACCAAAAAGGTTCAATTAATGCAACAAGTATAAATTACCCGTGCCATCAACATGTTGCCCAAAGGCCCCGATTCCTACTTTTGCTCCACTACCGTGCTAAATACTCACATAAATATTTATCGGTCCAAATGAGCAGCTCGCAAGATTGACATTTTCTTGCACAACCGCAGTCATGGTCTCATCAGACCAAAGTGTTCCTCATTTCCTTGGCACGGGTCATGAAAGGAATGTGATTGTGTGTTGTTGATGGTTACGGTGAGCACGCTTGACAGGAAGCCGATCGTTAGATGAGAGAAGAGTGCCCCCGAGGCAGGTCAGCCACGCCGGACTCCAAGCGAGGGGGTTGTGCAGGGATGGGGGGCGGGGGGGGATTGAAAGGACTGCGGGCGGGCCAACATTGACAGGCTCATACACTGGCGATCAATCCCGCACACTGCAATCAAGCGCCGCGTGGACAAAAGTGTGCTAGGATAGGAAGCAGAAATAGAACACCAAGTCATCAATGTGCAGACGTCCACGCAAAAGAGCTTCAATAGTGTCGCTTGCGCTTATTTTCTCGCGTCGATTTCCCTTTATGATTCGCATCGGTTGAAATCCATACAATTGGGAAAATGCACTTCAATTCAACCCACTGTAGCCGGAGTTAACATCGTGTCAATACATTGCCACAGTCCAAATGCTGATCGATTGATTGCTGTAGTCGTGTGATTGTTTGTGTGTATAATGTGATCGTACAGAATAATGAACTTTTTTTTTTTTTAATGTAGCACACAGTACATGTCATTTTTTTTTCATGTGATAATCACAAATGAACACAAACATTAGCTACACATGGAGACAGAGCATACAACAATACTCACAGGCATATATTATTTATCCTCTGGACAAAAAAAAAACAGCTACTATTCTTGCAGCTTCGTTGTTGTGATCTCCTGTTTCATCAAATCTATATTACTGCATGCTTTTATAAAGTACAATACGACTGAGTGTTATTTTCTATTCCTTTCAGAATTTTTTTTGTTGGGGTTTTTTTGGGAAGATGGAAAGGATTAATGTTATTTCCACTTAGGCTGGCTGGATTAAAGAACGTAGTGCTCGTACTTTTCTTATCGCTGGTCTATTGAATCCGAAGCCATAATGCCGAGTTTATGAGCAGAATTGCCTTTACCTGAGCTCAGAAAGTAATGGAGCTCGTTCTTCTTGTGGTATGAAAGTGGTGAAACTGCCCAATATCTAATTTCCTTCCATCATTGGAAATCACTCCAACAACATACGGCCAGGAGAGCTGCTTCACAGCCTTCAGTAATTGGGAAATTGCTGCCAGTCCGCCAAATGATCCCCAATACACCAAAGTCATTTTGCTGTGTCTGAACACCGTGCACTCACCGCACTCCCCCTCGTCCCCCGCCTCTGAAATCAGTACCTGTGGATACACCACAAATAACACTGACACTTTTCACCAAGATTGTGCAGTGTTTTAATGGTGATGACTCAAGGTTCTAGATGATCCATGAACTCATCCTTACGCTGACATACATTTGTCCATAGCAATAATCAAAACATACGCTAATGTTCATTTCAAAATAAACATGATTTGAAAATGAAATGATATCTACAAACTGTGTCCACAGGGTGGGACAAAAGTAGCTATACGGTTAAAGAGGAAGGAAGGAAGGAAGGAAGGAGTAATGCAAGTGGTAAACAGAGATGGTATAAAAGCAAGTGTGAAGGAGGGAAAGTGTCAAGGAAGGAAAAGAAAGGAAGAATGGTGGGTTGCAAGCATGCTATGGAAGGAAGGAAACAAGGATGGTAATTAAGGAAAGATGGCAGGAAGAAAAGAAGGAAATAAGGCTGTACGAAAGGAAGAAAGGATGGAGGAAAGGTAGCAAGGAAAGTATTAAAAGGAAGGAAAGAAAAGGTACAAAAAGGTACAAAACAAGGATAGTCTAAAAGTATTTAAAGGGGTAAAGAACCCAAGGGATAAAAGGAATGAATAAAAAATAAATTCTGTCTTGAAATCTTTAAGCATCCATGAAGCCTGAACACCTTGATATCCAATTGTGTACCCCTAACCATCACTTGTGACTACTATTACGAAATAAAACACCTAAGATTTGATTGAGGAATGCCGCATCGTTTTCAAGAATTTAAAAACGTGTTTCCTAAATGCAGTTGTGATAAATGAATGTGAACATAACATGAAAAACGTTTCAAGGGTATACGTGTTTTTGGGACGCTCAAAAAAAAAAAAAAAGAATGTAATTAAATATCAATGAAAACATCATCAGAGTAGGGGGTGGAAGGGATATAATCCACCCAAATTAGATGATTACGTTTTCTCAAATGTGAGGAGCTTTCCTTCATAATTTATCAATTGACTGCGCATGTTTGCGCAATAATGGCGCACGATGACGGTTCCAAATGTCAACCTTTGACCTTGCAGCAGTCAGTGACAGTTGAGCCAATCGCGTGGCTCGTTGTTGCGACGTGCTCCTCCAGTGTCTCGGAGCTCCCCTCTGGTCAACATGGTGAGTTTTGGACCATTCAAAACAACTTGCCGCTTTTGGCACGATAAGAAAAAGTTAGGATCGATTTTTTGCTCGCTGGTGCCTATTGTTAAGCCGGGGTGTGTTTCTATGTTGCCATTTTGCCAAAATGAATGCTCTGTATGCCTCGAAAATGCGGTTTAGCATCTCGCCTGAGCATAATGCTAACGTTGCCGCACACACTGGCCCGGAAGGCTTGGCTAATTCCTGGATATTTTTTTCTTTTTCATAATACGTCCACTCACTGGTCAGAAATAAACATGCAAATCACATGAACTTCAATTTAACCCACTGCAGCCGGAGTTAGCATCGTGTCAATACATTGCCACAGTCCAAATGTTGATCGATTGATTGCTGTAGTCGTGTGATTGTTTGTGTGTATAATGTGATCGTACAGAATAATGAACTTTTTTTTTTTTTTTAATGTAGCATACAGCACATGTCATTTTAATCACAAATGAACACAAACATTAGCTACACATGTAGACAGAGCATACAACAATACTCACAGGCATATATTATTTATCCTCCGGACAAAAAAACTGCTACTATAATTGCAGCTTCGTTGTTGTGATCTCCTGTTTCATCAAATCTATATTACTGCATGCTTTTATAAAGTACAATACTTTTGAGTGTTATATTCCTTTCAGAATTTTTTTTGTTGGGGTTTTTTTTTTGGGAAGATGGAAAGGATTAATGTTATTTCCACTTAGGCAGGCTGGATTAAAGAACAGAGTGGTCGTACTTTTCTTATCGCTGATCTATTGAATCCGAAGCCATAATGCCGAGTTTATGAGCAGAATTGCCTTTACCTGAGCTCAGAAAGTAATGGAGCTCGTTCTTCTTGTGGTATGAAAGTGGTGAAACTGCCCAATATCTAATTTCCTTCCATCATTGGAAATCACTCCAACAACATACGGCCAGGAGAGCTGCTTCACAGCCTTCAGTAATTGGGAAATTGCTGCCAGTCCGCCAAATGATCCCCAATACACCAAAGTCATTTTGCTGTGTCTGAACACCGTGCACTCACCGCACTCCCCCTCGTCCCCCGCCTCTGAAATCAGTACCTGTGGATACACCACAAATAACACTGACACTTTTCACCAAGATTGTGCAGTGTTTTAATGGTGATGACTCAAGGTTCTAGATGATCCATGAACTCATCCTTACGCTGACATACATTTGTCCATAGCAATAATCAAAACATACGCTAATGTTCATTTCAAAATAAACATGATTTGAAAATGAAATGATATCTACAAACTGTGTCCACAGGGTGGGACAAAAGTAGCTATACGGTTAAAGAGGAAGGAAGGAAGGAAGGAAGGAGTAATGCAAGTGGTAAACAGAGATGGTATAAAAGCAAGTGTGAAGGAGGGAAAGTGTCAAGGAAGGAAAAGAAAGGAAGAATGGTGGGTTGCAAGCATGCTATGGAAGGAAGGAAACAAGGATGGTAATTAAGGAAAGATGGCAGGAAGAAAAGAAGGAAATAAGGCTGTACGAAAGGAAGAAAGGATGGAGGAAAGGTAGCAAGGAAAGTATTAAAAGGAAGGAAAGAAAAGGTACAAAAAGGTACAAAACAAGGATAGTCTAAAAGTATTTAAAGGGGTAAAGAACCCAAGGGATAAAAGGAATGAATAAAAAATAAATTCTGTCTTGAAATCTTTAAGCATCCATGAAGCCTGAACACCTTGATATCCAATTGTGTACCCCTAACCATCACTTGTGACTACTATTACGAAATAAAACACCTAAGATTTGATTGAGGAATGCCGCATCGTTTTCAAGAATTTAAAAACGTGTTTCCTAAATGCAGTTGTGATAAATGAATGTGAACATAACATGAAAAACGTTTCAAGGGTATACGTGTTTTTGGGACGCTCAAAAAAAAAAAAAAGAATGTAATTAAATATCAATGAAAACATCATCAGAGTAGGGGGTGGAAGGGATATAATCCACCCAAATTAGATGATTACGTTTTCTCAAATGTGAGGAGCTTTCCTTCATAATTTATCAATTGACTGCGCATGTTTGCGCAATAATGGCGCACGATGACGGTTCCAAATGTCAACCTTTGACCTTGCAGCAGTCAGTGACAGTTGAGCCAATCGCGTGGCTCGTTGTTGCGACGTGCTCCTCCAGTGTCTCGGAGCTCCCCTCTGGTCAACATGGTGAGTTTTGGACCATTCAAAACAACTTGCCGCTTTTGGCACGATAAGAAAAAGTTAGGATCGATTTTTTGCTCGCTGGTGCCTATTGTTAAGCCGGGGTGTGTTTCTATGTTGCCATTTTGCCAAAATGAATGCTCTGTATGCCTCGAAAATGCGGTTTAGCATCTCGCCTGAGCATAATGCTAACGTTGCCGCACACACTGGCCCGGAAGGCTTGGCTAATTCCTGGATATTTTTTTCTTTTTCATAATACGTCCACTCACTGGTCAGAAATAAACATGCAAATCACTACGGGTCAATTAAATCTTTACATAATAATGGAGGCATGATAAGTGGCGTGGATTCTTCCCGAAGGCTACACGTTCCATGGTTTATCCCACACGGTTGCCAGAGTTTAGACACCTTCCGAATCATTCATTACTTGCCGAGTTACATAGCGCCACATTTACGTCTCTATCATGTCGCATGTTTGCTAACTTTTACAATCGTACACAGTACGCATGTACTGTACTTAAGTAACGATTTAAGCAAGTGGGTTCATTTGATTGATTTAGCACATTTTACGCACAACTTACAAAGTGCTTTACATCATTAAGACAAACATTCGTATAAAAGACCCTTTTTCCCCAATTAATACTTAAAATAGAACAGGATAAATAATTTAAAAACTTTCTGCACGGTTAAAGTGACCTAAATCAGAATCCACCAATGATTCAAGCTCATGTTAAATAGGAATGAACACACACTTGCCACCATTTCAAGTGTCTCCGATTAACCCCAAATAAAGTTGACCTGTTTTTAGACGAATACGTTGCTGTTTTCTTGGCATGTTGCGCTAAGTAACAATGTTGGAGTAAGTTGTGGAGCTTTATGTAGGTAACGGTAGTGCTTTGACATCACCTCTTGGAAGCTGCGTGCCAAGGAACTCCAGTGGCGCCCTGACACACAGCTCCAAATTCCATTCATTTTGTAACTACGCTTATCTCAAATCATCTTTCCCCATTGAAATGAATGGAAACGCCATTCCAGCACCCCAAGAACACCAACCAAAGTTTTTGTAATATTTCATTTCATTTTAGTTCGTTTTTCCTTTGTTTTATTTATTTTTTTCCTACATATCTTATGGAGTAGTTGTCAAATTCAAAATTTAAAAGTCCCGATAATTATTTTGTTCAAAACGACTGTTGGTGCGAGTTGAGAGCTTCATTTGGACAAATCTAGTGATTTGGTGCAGCCATGTCACATGGACAATTATACACCGTTTTTGGATGTGGACTGTAAATCGGAGAGGGTCTGATCAAGTTCTGATCTTCATTTTAATTGAACCACCTCTGACTCTTTGGAGTTCACTAATGTGTGGTGTTTCCCCGTTCACGGCAGTCTTCCTCGGAGGCTAATAATGGCCCGAGCCAAGCCGCACCTTATCCGGGTGTACCACCCTCAGGGATGCCACCCCCCTTTGTAAGTCCAATGCCGGTCATGTAAAAAAAAAAAAGCTCTTCCACCTTAGTTTTGAGTGAAGGGCTGAAGTAAGACTGGTTAGAACACAAGCCAATCTTTGCGAGATTTACTCATTCTCACTCTGGTTCTTTCTAGATGGGACCACCAGGAATACCACCTCATTTCCCTCCCATGGGTATGCCCCCGTTGGGGCAGCGACCGCCCAGCATGACTCCGATGCCGCCTGGCATTATGCCGCCCGGGATGCTGCCATCGATGTCAGCTCCTCCGATGGGACAGGTCAGTCTTAATAACTTGTGCATCCTGTTGGCAGAAGAAGGTTTTGCGTTTAGTGGAAGAGGCAAATGAACATGTTATAAAGTTTTTTATTAATTTTTTAAACATCCACTACATAGTGTGTTTGTCACAGCGCTTCAGTTTTCTTTGCAATTGGGGATTGTGCTGGTTCCGGTGTCGCGTTTGTCACCTCGTGCAAACATATGTGATCCAGACGTGTGTCATGAAAAGTTTGGAGAAAGTTTGTTCTGTTTGCGCGGCGACGCTTTCACAGATTTGAGGCAGTGTCATCACACCACGGACTCGGCAGCGCACACTCGCACTCCCTCTCACCCCCCCCGCCTTGGCGTCAGCCCTTCTTGGCTTCAAGGCCCGGATGCCAGCACCCTGTCTCAAGACTATGAAAATGCCAGATGAATATTTCATGGTGTTTCTTTTAATAGATACAAGGTATGATGCCGCCCATGATGGGGATGATGCTGCCTCCTCGCCTGCCAGCTGCGACCCTGCAGCCCACTGGGCCGGTAACTCTTCTCCATCCTCCTCCTTTCATCAGCAATATGCTGCCTTGCACACCCATTTTTTATTTATTTTTAAAATACACCGCGAGCTGCGACACGGCGTTGGAACATGGAAGCAACACAAGCTGTTCTTGATAGGAATGAAAATTAACATTTTGTATTTATTTATTTATTTTTTGCCACTTTTGTTCAGCCATGAATCACTTTTAATTGAATCAGTGGTGGTGTTTAATATTCCGATGTTACTGTGAATAAGCATCGTTAGTCAAGCCGTGTGAGAGAGCCAACGTGGAATCCACTTCATCATCTCGAATTGTGTCGGGACGCTTTGCGCTAATGAGCAGTGCTTTGTAAACCGTTGTGTTTATCAAACGATGATTCCCTCGGACGGTCTCATCATTCATCCTTTAGAGACGGCCGTGGGTGTCGCCGTTGTTTTGAAAAAAATAAAAAATTATTATCCCTTCTTTTTCTCCTCAACAGCCTGGTGTTGACACCCCAGGTAAGTGCCTTAACTTCACAAGAGGCCTGAAGTTTATTTTTTATTTCTCTAGATGTCATTCTAACTTTTTGTTGTTATTTTTAACAGCTGCGCCAGGAACCACCGTAAGTTGCTTGGTTGTCGTCCACATATTTCACCTGCTGTCATCCCGATAGCCGCTGAATTTGTGGGCTTTTTTTTTTTTTTTTTTTTTTTTTGCAGAGTACAACAAATGGATCTGCACAGGAAGAACAGCCCAAGAAGGTTTGTGCAGAAAGCACCTTGTGGAACCGGAGTTTTCATCAACTTGCAGTTAGCTACATTTAGCAAAATGCTTGAAAAAAAACATTAACAATGGCTCATGGCCAGTACGCTGCTGTATCAGGCCACTCCCGCCCGTCAGATGCTGTCATGACCGTCTGGGCCAGTCCAAATTTTTGGGCCACGCCTGCCAAAAATTGCCCCCAAGTGTTTTTATTTTTTTGGTTTCAAAATGAGACGTTTATCACCTAAACAACCGGGCAGATACAGATGCTTATAATGATGCCTGAAAAAAAAAAATCCAACTGACACACACTTAGCTGTGTCAACAAAAATGAATTGGGGTTCGAAAATCAAAGAAAAAAAAAACCTCAAGGTACAGCGTCCTTAAAATGTGACTCTTTTGCTTCTTGAGATAAATGCTTGAAAGATGACGACCGTCTGAAACGACAGATACGCTTGACATTTCCTGTGGAGGAATTTAGCGTTGAAACTCAAACAACTTTGAAGTCAACTCGTGTAACGGCGCAGATTGTGTTTGGCTTTGGCATTTCGACTATTCCCGTATTTACTCACTTGCAAGGCGTCGTCCAGCACCGCCACAGGAAAGATTGTAGAAGTCGTCCCAATACTTTTTGTTCATCTAATCAGATGTAAAATAAGAAAACATCAACCGCGTTGCTATGTATTTATACTCATTATTTACCCCTCTTTTCTGCTACTTTTCAAGACTTTGAACCAACAGTATTCTGTTTTCGTAATGATTTTTTTTTTGTTTGTTTTTGGTCTTAGAAATCCGTGTGGACTGAACACAAATCACTGGATGGAAAAACCTATTACTACAACACGGAAACCAAGCAGTCCACCTGGGAGAAACCAGAGGATCTCAAGTCTCCCGCAGAAGTCCGTAATTGCTTTATTGATTCACCCCCACGGTTTGCGTTGCTGAATATCTCTTCCATTTATTTAGACACAAACACAAAACTGTTGGGTATTGATGACAAAACACGTTTTTCTTTTGAACATTTTGCTTCTTCTGTGCAACGTGTAAAACAAACAAACAAACCACTTTGTGCTTGTGCCCCTCAGCAAATGTTGTCGAAATGTCCTTGGAAAGAGTACAAGTCGGACACAGGCAAGCCGTATTACTACAACTCCCAGACAAAGGAGTCCAGATGGACCAAGCCCAAAGAGCTGGAGGACCTGGAAGGTAAAAGGGCCGCCGCCTCACACACGAGCCTTCAATAATTCAATGATGGCATTAAATCGGCATGCCATAAAAGGGGCTCGGCCTTTATTTATGCACACGTGAAAGATGGCGTCTCCCAAGGTGCATTCACCCCATGCCTCGCGCTTATCTCAGAGGTGCTAAGAAATGAAAAAAAAAATAGACTAACAGCCTTCTTTCCCCTTTTGTCTTATTTCAGCCATGATCAAAGCTGAGGAGAATGGGTAAGTGCTTCCTGTTTACCTTCAGTGAGCACACAAACTGTTGTCTCGCATCGTCAACAGGATTGCATGGAACCCGTGTGGTTTGTTTGTTTTTTCTTCCTCGTAATTAATCTTGCGATGTAATTGTAGGCCACCGGAAGTAGCAGCTCTTAACATCACCGCCGAGCCCGTGCTGCAAGCTGAAAGCGCGCAAGCGTCGGCGGCCCCCGCCGCGGAGGCGGAGCCGGTGGAAGCGGTCCCCGAGGATCAAACGTCACTGGCGGCCGCGCATCAAACACCCGAGGTCAAGACCACCGACGTGCCCGCGGCGGCGGAGAGCAGCGTCCCCGCGGAGGCTCCGGCCAGGTAGACCGCACCGATCAACTTGATTGGAGAAGACCATCTTTTGTGTTCTGAAAGCCGATTTGACGAGCTTGTCCTTCCCTCGCCTTCAGCGCCGAAGTCAAGAAGGAAGAACCACGGCCGGAAATTCAGAAGAAGGTTTTGAAATGGAACACCAAGGAGGAAGCCAAGCAGGCCTTCAAGGAGCTGCTGAAGGAGAAGGTAAATGTGCACTGAAGAGGAGGCCCCAAGTCCTCTTCCAAATTCAACCGCGCTCAGTGTGCAGCTCATTTCTTTCAAACAGAAAGCTGCACCTTGTATTCTAAATCACGCCAGTCCGTGGGCCGCGCGGACTAAGGCCGCCTTCCCAACAGAAAACCAGATTACTGCAGTTCTGAACTCAATTCCCGCAGTCCCGAAACGTCTTGCTGGCACGAGCGACGTTTTATTTATTTATTTATTTTTTACTGACCAATTTCCATGTCATCAACTTTCTGCATGAGCTTTGTGCTTCATTTCAATCGGACACAGCGGCTTCAGCGCTAAGTGCCTTAATTTCAGCCCTAACTAAAAAGTCGTTAAAGGGACTAGGGGGGGAAAAGGCGGAAAGATGGCCATTCGATTGAATGACCTTAATAGGGGACAGTAACGGACAATTAACTATTATTTTTAATGGGATACACATTAAGGGGGGGAGACTCTGAATGTTGTGGACTTCAGTCTCCACGCCATGATGCTAACCAGAGATGGTGTGCTATGTGCGTACGTGTGGTCTGAACAGCCAGTGAGGTTGGCTGATGTGTTAATTGGCACATCCAGTGCGTTTTTTTTTTTTTTTTTTTGGTGCATTGAGTCCTCCGAGAACCCACCACTCTCACCCCAAGCTGGAGGTTGCAGTTGATTTTCACCTCCTGTTGCTGGGGAAAAGTGACTGAACACCTTGCCATGCCCACCACGGTCGCTGCTATAATGGCTCTTTTTAACTCTCCCGCTCCCCTTTGGGGGGGATTTCTTTTTCTCGCCATTTCCCGTAAGATCTTAATGGCTCTGTCTTCATGATTAGTTTTTATTCGGACCAAGCGAACGCACACACACAGCCTTGCCGGGATTAAAGCGTCAAGAGTTAGCGGCGCGCTTCAGTGAGTTGGAATAACTGTGACAACTGTGGAGATAGCGGCACGTGGATAATGGATGCCGCAACTTGTCCCCGAGAGAGGCGGGCGGCCGAAAAGGCCCTCGTATAAATCCTCCGTGACGCCTCCCTGAATGACGGCCCCGCCACACCTGTTCACCCCGCATCCATTAGTCATCGGGAAAATGTCTGCACGTCTCCTGGGGGGAGTCCTGCCGCAATCTGGGTCACAACTGGGAACGAAAAACAATTAACTTCATTAACCACGAGGAGAAGAAACAACCCGTTCCAATTGGCTTTTTTTTTTTCTCCTCGGTTGACTTTCCTCCTCGTTCTCGCTGTAGGTTTTGGGTGAACCAATGTCAAAAGATATTGACGTTTTCTCCTCGTTTTTCAGGGCGTGTCCTCCAACTCTTCATGGGAACAGGCGATGAAATTGATTATCAACGACGCCCGCTACAGGTGAGCCATTCTCCTCCGAAGGCCTCATCGGCCGCGCACCCTTCTGACCTTCCGATTTCTCATTTTCACCTGTCAAGCGCTCTCCCCAAGCTGAGCGAGAAGAAGCAAGCATTTAATGCCTACAAGGTCCAAACGGAGAAAGAAGAGAAAGAGGAGGCCAGAATTAAGTACAAGGAGTCAAAAGAAACCTTCCAGAGGTTCCTTGAGAACCACGAGAAGATGACTTCCACCACCAGATACAAGTACGTTTGGCATGTCAAATCTTTGTTGCTGTTGTTGTTGTTTCCTGTCTGGCTGTATTGACTTGGGATCCCCCGAATAGTCAATGTGATGATGCGGACAGTGTCAGTGTGAGGTCATGGCTTGTGCACGCCATTGTTGGGTCCTGGCACGCTTCCTTTTCAACGGACTTCAGTGATGCCGTTTTCTGTGTGTGTCTCTCTTTAAATACATTTCCTACTTCCCGCAAGTCCTCACATATTAGCTGCAAGTGTTTACTGACTCATCTGGAGTGTATCGGGTGTTTTCTCTAGGAGGCCACTGTTTGAGCCTCAAAAAAAAAAAGCAACATGCATTCAATTTCGCTGATGGATCGCTGTTCCCCAAAACACTCCCACATGACCGCGTACGCGCGTTTGCAGGAAAGCAGAGCAGATGTTCAACGACCAGGAGGTGTGGAGCTGCGTCCCCGAGAGAGACAGGCAGGAGATCTACGAAGACGTCCTGTTCTACCTGGCCAAGAAGGAGAAGGTGAGGCGTCGCCGCGATGCGGCATCGCGTCAAGCGGCAACACCCGCTGACGTCCGACCACCTTGTCCGACGCCTTCAGGAGCAAGCCAAGCAGCTGAGGAAGAGGAACTGGGAAGCCTTGAAGAACATTCTGGACAACATGGCCAACGTCACCTACCGCACCACCTGGTCAGAAGCCCAGCAGTACCTGCTGGACAATCCCACCTTTGCCGAGGACGAAGAGCTCCAAAGTATGCATGCATCTTTGTTTCTTACCCCCAACTGCTTGCGGTTCGTTAGTCCTGAATTCACAGATGTTGAACCCGCGGATAGTCACTGTTCCGCATGAATGAGACGTGATGATCATAAAGATATTGCTGTGGCGCCATCTTCTGGCTCTGGTGGTTCAATGGCACTGTGAAGTTGACAAGCTGGTCAAGTCATTTTGCCCCATTTGGGGCGTTTCAGTGCCAAGGAACTGTCTTGAAGTGACTTCAGGAGTTTCATTCAGACCAGTGAAGCCAAAGTCGCTTTTGTCATGGGCTGCATTGTAGTTAGTTCGCCTCAGAAGGATCTTATGAATGTGAAATCACCTCATCAGATTACAAATGCACAACAAATTGATGAACTGCTTTTGGGATCAGAAGCCACTTAAAATACTTTAACCGATGAATGTTTCTAATTTAATGGGGAGGGTTTAGTCACCCCCCCCCCCCCAAAAAAAAAACCCAAAAACAAAACATTCCAATATCTCATCAAAAACGTGAAGTCACTTTGCAATTGTGGTGACTGTGGCAAAAATAATCCTATGTTGCCATCTTTTGGCATCTAGGTGCCAGGGAACAACGTTGAAGTGAGTTGAGGGGTTTCATTTCGACAAAACTGGTCTGTTGTCGCCATCTTGGTGACAAGGAACGATGTTGAAATGAGTTAAGGCGCTTCATAGAAACAGGAGGTAGTGCCTTGATGCCGTCTTGTGCTCTTTGTGCCAAGGAGCTGTCGAAGTGAGTTGAGGAGCTTCGTTTAGGCCACGCGCTCTGCCTGTTTATTTTCAAATCACATCAGCAGCAAGCAATTTATTTTGAAAGGTCACGTTGCAAGGCCGTCGTTTAGTGTTAAACTTAATATGGAGGAAATGATCAACCCTCTTTGGCGAGGTGTCGTCTCATCGGTCGATTTTTGATGATGATGATTTTACCCTACCAGACATGGACAAAGAGGACGCGCTCATTTGCTTCGAGGAGCACATCCGCGCGCTGGAGAAGGAGGAAGAGGAGGACAAGCAGAAGACTCTCCTGAGGGAGAGGAGGCGCCAGCGCAAGAACCGAGAGTCCTTTCAGGTGAGCTGCCGCTCAACAGGTCCTACGTGGACTTGCTTGCCCCCCCCCTTGCCGAAAGTTTGATTGGCTTTGAAATGTGAGATGGGATAACACCGCACTCTTAAGTCGGAATGTCACACTCGGGTTATGATGTCAATTACTGCAGGGAATAATCGAGTCGGCCGATGGGGTTTGCACAGCAGGCCCAACCGGTATCAAGGTTGCGCCATGAGAGGGTGCTAATAGACTGCCAAATGCTAATGAGGCTATTAATGTCCGCGTGATGCCGGGGCAAAAAAAATAAAAAATTGCATCAACCTGTTTTTACCCCCTTTGGCCACAAATGTCAAGTTGTGCATGTCTTATTTTGGCACAGAAATTTCTGGATGAGCTCCACGACCACGGCCAGCTTCATTCGATGTCCGCCTGGATGGAGATGTACCCCACCCTGAGCTCCGACATCCGCTTTGCCAACATGCTGGGCCAGCCAGGTAAGACAAACCTCATCAGACCACCCATTTCCCAAATGAGACGGAACCCAAACATTTGCGCTTTCTCGCTTTTTTTTTCCAGCGAGTAGTGTCCTCCTGATGATCAAACTGTCATAGAATTAAGTTGCCGCAGGACTGAAGGAAAATACAAAGAAAGCCAATTTCATGTTTCTTTGCGGTTGTCTGCAGGCTCCACCCCTCTGGACCTTTTCAAATTCTACGTGGAAGACCTCAAGGCACGCTACCACGACGAGAAGAGGATCATCAAAGACATCCTGAAGGTGACCTGCAAGTCTGGCGGCGCGCTCTCACAAATGGACGATTTTCTTTGACCCCTGTTTTTGCACATACTTGCTCAGGACAAGAGCTTCCTGGTGGAAGTCAACACCGGCTTTGATGACTTTGGCTCGGTCATCAGCTCAGACAAGCGAGCCACCACACTCGACGCCGGAAACATCAAGTTGGCCTTCAACAGCGTAAGCGCTTCTCGCTTCTTTCGCCTTCTCGATATTTATTCTTAACCATAAATCCGAAAGAGTCAAAATGTCCAAAGTTTGGGATGAGTTCGCACGTCAGAAGATCGAGTGCGACCCATTGACAATCGCCGACACAGAAGATCGCGTGTTAACGTTTGCCTAACTTAACACATTATCGTGTCAAAAGGGTAAAAAAAAACAGACGCGAAAGCGGCTTCCGTCCGTAGCCGCAACTCTTGCCGTCGGTTGACAAACTCCACGTCCACCTCTACGCGCTCATTCGCTGACACCCACGTCACTCACGAGCCTGGGCCACTCCTTTTAAAGCGATACACCCTCAAAGTCAACAGATACTACAGAAAATAAAACAAAAAAAAAAATAAAACCTGCACTACGATAATGCAGACTCTGAATGATTTCACAAATCCGTAGAATACTTGATTCGCAATATATTCGATAGCTGCAGCCCAATGCAATATTTTTCTCGATATGTCCCTATGAATAAACGATTACAACCTGGTGTGTTAAATGTACTGTATATGAGACGGGATATTTTAAGGCAACCTGTCACAGGCAGGACGTGAAGGTGTGGCGTTTATTTCTTCAAATGGATTCATCGGGCTATGGTATCTAGTCAAGTGCAAATAAAATCCGCTCGCTTTGCGCATCTTTGCTCAGTTGCTGGAGAAGGCGGAAGCCAGAGAGCGGGAGCGGGAGAAGGAGGAGGCCAGGAAGATGAAGAGGAAAGAGGCGGCTTTTAAGACCATGTTGAAGCAGGCCACGCCCGCCCTGGAGCCGGATGACGCGTGGGAAGCCGTAAGTGCCGCCGCCTGTCGCACGCGAGAGCCAGCGGGAGCGGGCTCGCTCCATTTTGAAGCCCGTCCGGTGCTCAAATGAATCGAGGGAAGGCACATTGTTGCACTTTTCCTCATTTATCAGAACAGCTCCAGTTTTCAAGGGTCAGACATTTCTAAGAAGCCTCAGAAAGTAAGTCGTGCTTTGGTGGAAGATGGAAATTAAATGGGGTCTGGGGGGGGGGGGAGAACCCAAGCATGCAGAAGAAGTCATTATTGCCTCATAAATCCATAAAATAGAAATTCCGCCGGTTTCATTGCGGCAATAAAACTGGACATTAAAATGGCACTTGCTGGCAAAGAAAAAATCCGCCCTCAGTCACATAACAAAAAAAATCTGTGGATTGAAGGCCTTTTTATTTTTCTTGCACTGAAGGAATTTCTTATTTTCAGCTTTTTAATGCAAAAAAAAAAACAAGCCGTGCAGGAAATACAAAAGAGGTCTGCCATTTTGTTTTGAAGGCTCATTTTGAACGTCTTTGAAGATTCCGCCCCCAAAGACGGTTTGCAACAAGTACTCTGGTGCGCCACTCTTAATCTATCTTAAATAGACCCACAAAAACGTCTCCAGAAGCCAGGCCTGTAAAGACGCAGCAAGTCTGCTATTTGGATCTTGCACTCCAATAGTTAAATACGACTGAACTGGATTCGACAAATGTACTTGACTGGATGAAATCGAACTGGAACATTCAGCTCAGGTGCAACTTTTAATTCAGTGATACATTCGCCTACCACTAGAGGGAACCATTTCCCTTAGAGCGTCTTGCTCTTTCCAGGTGAGGGAGCGGTTCCTGAAGGAAGCAGCCTTCGAAGATGTCACGCTGGAGTCGGAGAGGAAGAGGATCTTCAAGGACTTCATGCACGTTTTGGAGGTGAGCGCCGGTGGGCTGCGGGTCTCCGTCATGACTTGAATGAGCTCTTGCGTTGTATTTTTATTCATTTATTTATTTCCTTTTTGACAGCATGAATGCCAGCATCACCACTCCAAGACTAAGAAGCACTCCAAGAAGTCCAAGAAGCACCACAGGAAGCGATCCCGCTCTCGATCGGTCAGTCGGGGGGGGGGCAAAAAAAAAAAGTTAGCTCATGAATGTCATCGGTGTGATTATTATCCTCATTATGACGATTCCATATTTCCTCAGGGCTCCGAGTCTGAAGAGGAAGAATATCACAAGAAGAAGAAGCGGTCGGCGTCCAAAACCCCGTCAGAGCGCTCCTCGAGTGGTGAGTCAGGTGAGTCGCCGCGAAAAGAAGCCGTGCCCTCCACCGATACGTGCTCACCTTTCCCTGTTCCCCTTTGACCCCAGAGAGAAGTTACAAGAAGTCCAAGAAGCACAAGAAGAAGGCCAAGAAGAGACGACACAAGTCTGTAAGTCCACACGCACTCACGCGAGGCGCCTTGAGATTTGTTCCGTCACCAAGCTCTCATCTCGGTGAACTTGGATACGGACTTCATGCACGTTTTGGAGGTGAGCGCCGGTGGGCTGCGGGTCTCCATCATGACTTGAATGAGCTCTTGCGTTGTATTTTTATTCATTTATTTATTTCCTTTTTGACAGCATGAATGCCAGCATCACCACTCCAAGACTAAGAAGCACTCCAAGAAGTCCAAGAAGCACCACAGGAAGCGATCCCGCTCTCGATCGGTCAGTCGGGGGGGGCAAAAAAAAAAAGTTAGCTCATGAATGTCATCGGTGTGATTATTATCCTCATTATGACGATTCCATATTTCCTCAGGGCTCCGAGTCTGAAGAGGAAGAATATCACAAGAAGAAGAAGCGGTCGGCGTCCAAAACCCCGTCAGAGCGCTCCTCGAGTGGTGAGTCAGGTGAGTCGCCGCGAAAAGAAGCCGTGCCCTCCACCGATACGTGCTCACCTTTCCCTGTTCCCCTTTGACCCCAGAGAGAAGTTACAAGAAGTCCAAGAAGCACAAGAAGAAGGCCAAGAAGAGACGACACAAGTCTGTAAGTCCACACGCACTCACGCGAGGCGCCTTGAGATTTGTTCCGTCACCAAGCTCTCATCTCGGTGAACTTGGATACCAAGTTAATTTTCCACATTGAAATGAGTGCGAATGTAAAAAAACAAAAACAAACACCGACAGTAATATAGAAAGTCTTGCAATCACACCACTTTTATTTTTTTAAACTTACATATTCATTTTTTGTAATCGTAACATAATTTGAACATAAGTTGAATAGAAACATTCCCACCTGCATCTTCCCCCAAAATCTTTTTGCCGAAATCATCTGCTGAAATTGGCCTGCACTTCGGTCAGTTGTGCACTAGGAGTACGTCATTACTTCAATATATTCACTCTTCGGTTTCGTTTCTCCAAATTTGTGATTATATTACATACATTGACTGCCAGAAAAGAAAATTAGATGAACACAAAAAAAAAAGTATTAGGAAGGGGCGGGGTGTGGGGGGGTGTATTGTGAATGAGATGTGACGCTGACGCCATACCTCCTCGTCCATCAGGGCTCCCCCGAATCGGACGTGGTCGACAAGAAAGGACGAGACGCCAAAAGGGACAAAGACAACGATAAAGAGAAAGACGGCGACAAGGCCCGAGGGAAGTCGCACTCGGACGGCAAACACAAGTCGCCCAAACGCAAAGCCGCCAAGGAGGAGGTTGCCATTTTTACATTTCTACTCCATTTGCCTGCAATTTGTTCAGAGAGAGGAAAAAAATGTTTTTGTACTCAAGAGCCGGAATGTTTTTTGTTTGAGGCAGCCGCTATTGTCACTTTCACGAACTGCGATGTGTGTAATAGCACAAGTGCAACAATTCAGTGAACTTTTTTTCCTTTTCAGGGCGGCTGGGACACGTCAGGAAGCGAACTGAGCGAAGGCGAACTGGAGAAACGACGACGAACTTTACTGGAGCAGCTGGACGCGCCTTGATGAAACGTCGTCGCCTCACCGCACACTTGCATTCTTTTCAAAGGGCACATCGCCCCCTCTAGGTCTCCGCTGGGATCGCGGACACTGAACTCATTTATTCCCAGGATCTTAATTCTGTCTAATCGCGTTCCTGATTTGTATTTTTTATTTTTAGGCTTTGTTTAGTGATTGCTGATGTTCTCTATCAGCAACATTTAGTTTTGAGCAGCAACTTGGAAACGCCGAGAGCGAAAGTTGTAGGGTAGCCGCTCATTGGATGTGAGTGCAGTACGCCACCTTTTAATTCAAGCATTCAAACTAACTTCTATGTAATAAAAAATGAGTGTTCCATGTTTGTTTGTTTTTTTTCAACACTTCACAAAATTTGCATTGAGTATGATAAGAGGTGTGTCGAAAAAAATGTGATCGTCACGGAAAATGTCACGAATCACATTTCACTAATTCATTTGAAAAAGGTACTTGTATTGACAATTATTAAATAAGGTGCAGGGCTCCATGATTTTTTAAAAATACGGGTCTCAACCTAGGTTTTAAAGTTTTAAACTAGGGTTGAAAGGAGTCTTACGGTTTTAAACTCAGGTTAAAGTTTCAGCATAGGGTTTCAAACTTGGTCTTTAAATAGGGTTAGGGTTTCCAACTAGGGTTAAGAGTTTTAAAGTAAGGTTTCAATTTAGGGCTAGGGTATCCAAGTAGGGCTTTAAACTAGGGTCTGGGTTTCAATGTAGGGTTAGGGTATCAAAGTAGGGTTTCAGAGTCATTTTTTTTTGGCTAAAAACGTCTATACATGGTCGTTTTTATCGGGTTAAAACGCCTTACTATACATGGTCGATTCTTTCGGCTAAAAACGCCTTACTATACTATGTCGTTTTTTTCGTGCCAAAAACGCCTTACTATACTATGTCGTTTTTTTCGTGCCAAAAACGCCTTACTATACTATGTCGTTTTTTTCGTGCCAAAAACGCCTTACTATACTATGTCGTTTTTTTCGTGCCAAAAACGCCTTACTATACTATGTCGTTTTTTTCGTGCCAAAAACGCCTTACTATACTATGTCGTTTTTTTCGTGCCAAAAACGCCTTACTATACTATGTCGTTTTTTTCGTGCCAAAAACGCCTTACTATACTATGTCGTTTTTTTCGTGCCAAAAACGCCTTACTATACTATGTCGTTTTTTTCGTGCCAAAAACGCCTTACTATACTATGTCGTTTTTTTCGTGCCAAAAACGCCTTACTATACTATGTCGTTTTTTTCGTGCCAAAAACGCCTTACTATACTATGTCGTTTTTTTCGTGCCAAAAACGCCTTACTATACTATGTCGTTTTTTTCGTGCCAAAAACGCCTTACTATACTATGTCGTTTTTTTCGTGCCAAAAACGCCTTACTATACTATGTCGTTTTTTTCGTGCCAAAAACGCCTTACTATACTATGTCGTTTTTTTCGTGCCAAAAACGCCTTACTATACTATGTCGTTTTTTTCGTGCCAAAAACGCCTTACTATACTATGTCGTTTTTTTCGTGCCAAAAACGCCTTACTATACTATGTCGTTTTTTTCGTGCCAAAAACGCCTTACTATACTATGTCGTTTTTTTCGTGCCAAAAACGCCTTACTATACTATGTCGTTTTTTTCGTGCCAAAAACGCCTTACTATACTATGTCGTTTTTTTCGTGCCAAAAACGCCTTACTATACTATGTCGTTTTTTTCGTGCCAAAAACGCCTTACTATACTATGTCGTTTTTTTCGTGCCAAAAACGCCTTACTATACTATGTCGTTTTTTTCGTGCCAAAAACGCCTTACTATACTATGTCGTTTTTTTCGTGCCAAAAACGCCTTACTATACTATGTCGTTTTTTTCGTGCCAAAAACGCCTTACTATACTATGTCGTTTTTTTCGTGCCAAAAACGCCTTACTATACTATGTCGTTTTTTTCGTGCCAAAAACGCCTTACTATACTATGTCGTTTTTTTCGTGCCAAAAACGCCTTACTATACTATGTCGTTTTTTTCGTGCCAAAAACGCCTTACTATACTATGTCGTTTTTTTCGTGCCAAAAACGCCTTACTATACTATGTCGTTTTTTTCGTGCCAAAAACGCCTTACTATACTATGTCGTTTTTTTCGTGCCAAAAACGCCTTACTATACTATGTCGTTTTTTTCGTGCCAAAAACGCCTTACTATACTATGTCGTTTTTTTCGTGCCAAAAACGCCTTACTATACTATGTCGTTTTTTTCGTGCCAAAAACGCCTTACTATACTATGTCGTTTTTTTCGTGCCAAAAACGCCTTACTATACTATGTCGTTTTTTTCGTGCCAAAAACGCCTTACTATACTATGTCGTTTTTTTCGTGCCAAAAACGCCTTACTATACTATGTCGTTTTTTTCGTGCCAAAAACGCCTTACTATACTATGTCGTTTTTTTCGTGCCAAAAACGCCTTACTATACTATGTCGTTTTTTTCGTGCCAAAAACGCCTTACTATACTATGTCGTTTTTTTCGTGCCAAAAACGCCTTACTATACTATGTCGTTTTTTTCGTGCCAAAAACGCCTTACTATACTATGTCGTTTTTTTCGTGCCAAAAACGCCTTACTATACTATGTCGTTTTTTTCGTGCCAAAAACGCCTTACTATACTATGTCGTTTTTTTCGTGCCAAAAACGCCTTACTATACTATGTCGTTTTTTTCGTGCCAAAAACGCCTTACTATACTATGTCGTTTTTTTCGTGCCAAAAACGCCTTACTATACTATGTCGTTTTTTTCGTGCCAAAAACGCCTTACTATACTATGTCGTTTTTTTCGTGCCAAAAACGCCTTACTATACTATGTCGTTTTTTTCGTGCCAAAAACGCCTTACTATACTATGTCGTTTTTTTCGTGCCAAAAACGCCTTACTATACTATGTCGTTTTTTTCGTGCCAAAAACGCCTTACTATACTATGTCGTTTTTTTCGTGCCAAAAACGCCTTACTATACTATGTCGTTTTTTTCGTGCCAAAAACGCCTTACTATACTATGTCGTTTTTTTCGTGCCAAAAACGCCTTACTATACTATGTCGTTTTTTTCGTGCCAAAAACGCCTTACTATACTATGTCGTTTTTTTCGTGCCAAAAACGCCTTACTATACTATGTCGTTTTTTTCGTGCCAAAAACGCCTTACTATACTATGTCGTTTTTTTCGTGCCAAAAACGCCTTACTATACTATGTCGTTTTTTTCGTGCCAAAAACGCCTTACTATACTATGTCGTTTTTTTCGTGCCAAAAACGCCTTACTATACTATGTCGTTTTTTTCGTGCCAAAAACGCCTTACTATACTATGTCGTTTTTTTCGTGCCAAAAACGCCTTACTATACTATGTCGTTTTTTTCGTGCCAAAAACGCCTTACTATACTATGTCGTTTTTTTCGTGCCAAAAACGCCTTACTATACTATGTCGTTTTTTTCGTGCCAAAAACGCCTTACTATACTATGTCGTTTTTTTCGTGCCAAAAACGCCTTACTATACTATGTCGTTTTTTTCGTGCCAAAAACGCCTTACTATACTATGTCGTTTTTTTCGTGCCAAAAACGCCTTACTATACTATGTCGTTTTTTTCGTGCCAAAAACGCCTTACTATACTATGTCGTTTTTTTCGTGCCAAAAACGCCTTACTATACTATGTCGTTTTTTTCGTGCCAAAAACGCCTTACTATACTATGTCGTTTTTTTCGTGCCAAAAACGCCTTACTATACTATGTCGTTTTTTTCGTGCCAAAAACGCCTTACTATACTATGTCGTTTTTTTCGTGCCAAAAACGCCTTACTATACTATGTCGTTTTTTTCGTGCCAAAAACGCCTTACTATACTATGTCGTTTTTTTCGTGCCAAAAACGCCTTACTATACTATGTCGTTTTTTTCGTGCCAAAAACGCCTTACTATACTATGTCGTTTTTTTCGTGCCAAAAACGCCTTACTATACTATGTCGTTTTTTTCGTGCCAAAAACGCCTTACTATACTATGTCGTTTTTTTCGTGCCAAAAACGCCTTACTATACTATGTCGTTTTTTTCGTGCCAAAAACGCCTTACTATACTATGTCGTTTTTTTCGTGCCAAAAACGCCTTACTATACTATGTCGTTTTTTTCGTGCCAAAAACGCCTTACTATACTATGTCGTTTTTTTCGTGCCAAAAACGCCTTACTATACTATGTCGTTTTTTTCGTGCCAAAAACGCCTTACTATACTATGTCGTTTTTTTCGTGCCAAAAACGCCTTACTATACTATGTCGTTTTTTTCGTGCCAAAAACGCCTTACTATACTATGTCGTTTTTTTCGTGCCAAAAACGCCTTACTATACTATGTCGTTTTTTTCGTGCCAAAAACGCCTTACTATACTATGTCGTTTTTTTCGTGCCAAAAACGCCTTACTATACTATGTCGTTTTTTTCGTGCCAAAAACGCCTTACTATACTATGTCGTTTTTTTCGTGCCAAAAACGCCTTACTATACTATGTCGTTTTTTTCGTGCCAAAAACGGCATACTATACTATGTCGTTTTTTTCGGCTAAAAACGCCTTACTATACATGGTCGTTTTTTTTGCGTTAAAAAGCCTTATACAGGGTCGTTTTTTTCGCGTTAAAACGCCTTACTATACTTTGTCGTTTTTTTTCGCGCTAAAATTGACTTACTATACATGGTCGGGGTTTTTTTTCGACTAAAAACGCCTGACTATCCATGGTCGTTTTTTTCGGTTAAAAACGTTTTACTATACATGGTCGTTGTTTTCGGCTAAAAACGCCGTACTATACATGGTCGTTGTTTTCGGCTAAAAACGCCGTACTATACATGGTCGTTGTTTTCGGCTAAAAACGCCGTACTATACATGGTCGTTGTTTTCGGCTAAAAACGCCGTACTATACATGGTCGTTGTTTTCGGCTAAAAACGCCGTACTATACATGGTCGTTGTTTTCGGCTAAAAACGCCGTACTATACATGGTCGTTGTTTTCGGCTAAAAACGCCGTACTATACATGGTCGTTGTTTTCGGCTAAAAACGCCGTACTATACATGGTCGTTGTTTTCGGCTAAAAACGCCGTACTATACATGGTCGTTGTTTTCGGCTAAAAACGCCGTACTATACATGGTCGTTGTTTTCGGCTAAAAACGCCGTACTATACATGGTCGTTGTTTTCGGCTAAAAACGCCGTACTATACATGGTCGTTGTTTTCGGCTAAAAACGCCGTACTATACATGGTCGTTGTTTTCGGCTAAAAACGCCGTACTATACATGGTCGTTGTTTTCGGCTAAAAACGCCGTACTATACATGGTCGT